TGATTATATTTAGAATTTTAAACTGTTAAAATTGTTTTATTTCAATGTCTACTTATGTAAACTACATACGATATCTGATTCAATAATTTATCGTCCATTAGACATAGTCTATCAGATTATCTATACTAATATATAAAGCTGAAGGGTTTGTGTGTTTGTTTGAACGCACTAATCTCAGGAACTACTGGTTGGAATTAAAAAATTACAATTATTGTGTTGGCTAGAGCATTTATCGAGGTAGGCTATAGGCTAAAACATTGCGTGGACTATTGGGGGAAAAAGAGGGAAAAAAAAGCGGAAAATAAAAGGGGAAAAATATTCATCTGTGTGAGTTTCTGGTGCGTACGCTGAAAAAACGGTTCAAGATACGCAAAATATATGTATGAGAGAATAATTCCTCTTTATGATTAAAAAAAAGTACACGACGCTGTACGTCTATCTTTTAAGACTAACTTGCAAGAATGACGGGAAGGGACGCGACCGATGTCGTGGATGTCGTGCAAAAACGAATTTGGACGCCCAAAATAACAATTCCACGCGGACGAAGTCGCTGAAACGGCTAGTGTTTAATAACCGTGCACGTATTGAATATTCGAAATCATTCCGCTTAGCTATTAATTTCATTATCGGATTCAATAACGTTCGGTCTATAAATTTTGTTTTAATGGTAAATAGATTGATGTGGACAAATCAACAAAGCAGCGAATATTTAGTTACATGATTTTGCATATATAACGTATACATATAATCGACTATATGACAAAGAACGAGAGATAAGGAAGTGTTGTCGGCCTATTTAATCTATCGAGATATTTCTACGGACAGAGGCAAAAAAGCAATTTAATTTTTTCATAAAAATGATTTTCGATTGGATTTAGATCGACATTTTATTCAACGTCGTAGATGAGAAAAGCAATTTAAACCGTTAAATATGTTTCTTTTTGGATCGAGGATGTAAGACAAGCAGAAGTCTAAAGAATCTAAAGAGTGCGCTGTTGACCTTGTCTTTGGGAATTGGGAAATCCACAGACTTAAACCGTAAAGCAATTAAACGTCACGGTTTTTATCTATGGACGGTGGTTCGTGGCCTAAACGAAATTTCGATATTTCTACCATATTTGAAAGCTTTATTATTTTTTACATGTTATTGCACATGAAGGCACTATATAATTTACACTTTTAAACGGTTCAAGTGCGTTAAACCGTCTAATGCAGTAAGTGATAAAGTTAAAATAAAACACTTATTAACGGTTCAAGACGTTAGTTAAACCGTTCTATGCCTGTAACTGTAACTGTTATAATTGTTTTATTTACGACTATAGTTTCATACAATATTTGATGTCGTAGTTGTTTAAAATTCAAATAATGACTCGGTAGCTCAATCGGAGAGCAACAGCACGGAACGCTCACGAGGCCGGTTCAAGTCCTGCCCGACGAGCCCGTCAACTATTTAAGTAGCCGCTCGTGTAAACTACAGATAATGTTTTATTATTATATAAATACTGTTTATTATTTAAATTATAAAAAAACATTACACAAATAAACATTGTGCGATCATGTATCAACGGGTTGAAAAATTCGAAGGTGACGTGTCGGACACGGTAGCTCATATGGTTAGAGAAACAGTACGGATCGCTGTGGATGCCGGTTCAAGACAAGTCCGAGTCGTATTTAAATAAAACACTTTAACGGTTTAAAACGCGATATATTAGTTAGTTAGGTCACGGCTGCTGCAAAGCATCCGAAACGTCGGGCCGAAGTAAAAAATAATTTTCAAATAACTCGCGTAAACTATAGACAGTATCCGAGTCGTATTTTTTTTCAATTTATTATCGATAAAAAAAAAGAACATTCATTTAACATCTATCTTGGTCACTTAAATTCTAAGATATATTTAGATTGAAATGACATTGCGCAAGGTCGTAAGGTCGTAGGTTCGAATCCCGCCTGTGTCATCGCATTTTTTCAATCTATATTAGATTTTTGAAAACATTATTTAAACTATCTTAGAATGTCACTTAAATCTAAGATAGGTTAAGGTTGAAATTACATTACGTAACAGCACGAAGCAGTGCCGTCATAAGTTCGAATCCCGCCTGTGTCATTTCATCAGCTTTTTGTACGTGTAGATATGATCATTTTTCAATAAAACACTTTAACAGCCGCGGGGGGGGGCGGGGGGGGGGGAAGCAACGGAAAGGTGGGGCCGGGGGGAAAAATAATTTTCAAACAAGTTTAACTAAAATACATCGCATTGTAGTTACAGTGCTTTATTTAAATGTGTACTACCCGCGTTAACTACAAACAGTATAATGATGTTCTCTTACAAAACTGATATTATTCTACTCCCATTAGTTACGCGAGATTTTTACGCAAAGTCTGATAAACGCCTGAAATTCTGTTGAACACGAATCACACATTAAACCTCTAAGGCCGAATAAAGCTTTAAGCCAGACCGCAATATCACGCGTGGGCGTGGGCCTGAACCCATCAACGCGTCGACGCGAACCTGCGGCGCGAGACAGGAATAGAAATGTGTTAGGCTTTCACAGTCGCGTCTTTGAACGCTTGGTATTAAAGCAAGTACTTTTCTGTAGAGGAGAGCGTGGAGTTCACTTTTGGAAGATGAAATATCCCAACCTTATAATATCTACACGAGATGCGCTATAGACCTATTTTGACTTTGGATATTCGGAAATCCAAAGATTGGAAAAAAGAAATTCCAACCAGATCACCAACTACCGTCCACGTTTTGGTTTCAGTCTCTGAGTTTCCGAATATCCAAAGCCAAAATAAAAATATGGCTATTTCCCCCCCCCTCCCCATCTCCAATGCTAATCTGTGCATCTCTATAAAAAATAAAAATTTACAACAAGAAATATCACAATTAGTAACCGACCCCCTAATAACTAATCTATGGAATCAAAAAACTACATTAAAAATCGTTAAGCCGTTTCGTAGTAAGAAAACTAACTGGCTCTGTATTGTACTTAGATTTTAATATGTAAGCGGACGAAAACGCCATTGTAAAATCTTACGTAGGATAACAGCTGTATCTGCGATATTCACTTGATTTTCTTTACTGAAAAGGGATCGAATAACATAAAAATATTTCCACCATCTTTAGATCTTTGGTGCAAATACAATATTACACCAAGACTTGCTATAGTTACTAACATATGTGTCTATAGATTGCCTCTTAAGCCACTGTTATTAAGATATCAAATGGTTGTATGGCGCTGTCTAACAGTCGGGCAGTATGGCTTTGCTGAAAATCAGCATTCTTCTACAGTTGTGCTGACTTTGACATATGGCTTTTAGCATGATTTGGCATCACAAATTAAATTTTAACTAATGTATATTATATAGCATTGTACTAAACGAATGCCAAATAAAGAGATTTGTTATTTTTAGTATTAAAAAAAAAAACATTATAATATTTCATCTAAATGAAGCTGAAACAGTTATTTTATTTTACGTATGTTAATTGTTTGACGGCCTCTACAGCTACATGTTTAGACGTAGTATGCTTTAAGTATCCTTAGCAGTGTCCTGCGTAGTCCTGGGTTCAAATCCCGGGGAAACGACACATCGTTTCGGCTGGGCAAGACACAGAAGTCTCACATAAAGATTTCAAATACATTGTTTCGTTAGTATAGGCAAGTAGACAATAATTGATACACAAATGTGTCCGTCCCATACATATTTATTCGGGACTTCACAAAACGCGAAACGTAATTTACACTAACATTATAAAGCTGAAGAGTTTGTTTGAACGCGCTAATCTTAGGAACAACTGGTCTGAATTGAAAAAGCATTTTTGTGTTAAATGGAACACTTTTTGAGAAAAGGCTTAAACATCAGACTGCGACTGCGGTGAAAATGATTCAAGACTTCCAAAAATGATAAAGAAAGAATGATTCATGTTTTAAATAAAACACTTTAACGGTTTTAAACGCGATTTAAACCGTTAAAGTGTTTTATTTAAATGTGTACTACTCGCGTAAACTATAGACAGTATATGATTCATCTTTAAATTATCTAAAATATACGACAGTTTATGTCCGTCTTTTAAGAGTAACTCGCAAGAACGACGGGGAGCAGACGACGTCGTGGGTAACAGCTTTAATTTATAAAGATAGAAGGTTAAAGAAAAAAATTGAATGTGCGGGCCTAGTGGGGTATGTGGAGCTTGTCAGGTTTTCAAAGGCAATAGTGCCTCACGTTATCGCGAGTGTCGAAACCGCGCCAATAAAATTACAACGGGCGCTGAATTTCAAGTCGAATACCTGAAAACACGTTTATAGCAATACCATTGAGATTTTAGAAAATTCTCGAAATTTCTTCGTCTTTTCGACACGTGATCGGGAGTAGATCTAGACTTTTAAAAACACTAACGGTTTACCGTGGTCACGGCTGCTACAGTGTTTCGGATGCCCTGGGACCGTAGTTAAAATAATTTTTAAACAAGTTTAACTAATATATATCGCGTTTTAAATCGATAAAGTGTTTTATTTGAATTGGTACTACCCGCCTAAACTACTGACAGTATATGCTTATAATAATTTTATTTGATACTAGTTAACCCGGCAAATGTTGTTTTGCCATTGAATTATTTTTAGGATTTTTTTGTGTGTGTCTGGTAAGACCTGGTTAAGTGTTTTATTAAAAAGGTTTTAAAATTTTAATCAACTACGACATCAAATTATTATCAGCTTAACTATAATCACCGCTAATCACTACAATTACTTAATGAAACAATTTCAACTGTTTAAAACGGGAATGACACTAGTCAATTAGCTTCTACAAAATAATTGAGACAAAACTTTACACATTTAAATAAAACGCTCAATATGCTTACACTTACTTGGATAAAACGGTTTAACTAATCCGTTTTAAAACGTTTAAAAGTGTTTTATTTAAACTCTCTAATTTACTGGGGTAAACGATAATAATGCACGTATTGAACCGTTTAAAACATTTTAAGCGCTATAAATTACCGGAAATCCGTGTTCGTTTGGCTTGGTCATGGCGACGATCGCGAGACTCATGCTGACCCTAGTGGCATATGACGTCACAGTCGAGAGGAACAGAAGAAAGATGATGACGTGTCGCATCCCGAAGGAGCTTTCTGGAACAGAAAAAGCTAAAATCAGACTTAAATTATTTATTTACCTAGCCGTGTCAGCGACTTCGTCCGCGAGAATCGTTATTTTGGGCATACAAATTCGTTTTTGCAAACTTAGTCTTTATAAACTTAGTCTGTTACCCACGACGTCGGTCGCGTCCTTTCGTTCTTGCAAGTATATAGTTCGCACAACCAAGTTTTAAACCGTTAAAATGTGTATCTTCATTTAATTAAATATTGTCGTAATTTACATGAGTATTTAAATAAAACACTCATAACGGTTTAAGACCCAAAATTTATTAGTTGAATTTTTAAAACGACCCGACATTTCGGATGCTTTGCAGCAGCGGTCATGGAGGAGGGAGGTGTGAGCCATGCTAAGAATGAAAATGGGGGGTGTCCTTAATTCCGTCTCTCCATAATTAGCCTCCCCTGGCCACGGCTGCTCCAAAGCATCCGAATGTTGACGGTATTATATGAATAAAAATATCTAATATATTTCGCGTTTTAAACCCTTAAAAGTGTCTTATTTAGTGAAATTCAATTCCGCTATTAATCTTTAAGTCAAAAAACGCTAATTGAATTTTCCCACAAAAACTGTTTTACCGACATACTTCCTGCCAATGACGTTTGTACCGTCGCGTCGGTAAAGTAGACTCAGTCGGTAGAATCTACTTTACCGACCAACATTTTCGGCCATCTTAGTTAAAACAGTTTCTATGTCATAATTAAAATTAAAATATGATTATAATATCCAACAACACAACAACAACTCCCCGTGACCACGGCTCTTGCAAAACACCCGAAACGTCGGGCGGTAGTTAAAATCACATAAGTTTAACTAATATATATCGCGTTTTAAACCGTTAAAGTGTTTTATTTGAATGGGTACTACCCGCCTAAACTACTGACAGTATATGCTTATAATAATTTTATTTGATACTAGTTAACCAAAGTTTGCAGAAATTTTTAGGGATTTTTTTGGTGTGTCTGGTAAGACTAACTTTGTTCTCATCCTTACTCCGTGCTGTTTACTGGGCGGAGAAGTGACACCGGTAGACGCCTTGGGGGGATAACTTCCCAAGTGATAATTGATGATTATAAGGATACAAAAAAATATCAAATAACTAAACAACTATGAAATTTTGGATTTGCGAAAGAAGAAATTTCCTTTAAAAATCGAAAGATAAATTGAAAAAAAATTTTCGACTCGGGCAGGACTTGAACCGGCATCGTTAGCGTTCCGTGCTGTTGGTCCACGAATAAAAAAATTTTTTTTTCAATTTATTTTCGATTTTTTAATTATATAGTGCCTTCATGTGCACTAACACGAGAAAATTTTCAAGAAATTTACTATTTATTCGAAGACATTTCGGATGATTCACAGCCGTGGCCACGGGGGTACGTAATCACGAAGTTTCAGTTTTAAATATGCCTACTGCAATACATACATCAACTACCAGACTACATTCAGCTCGTACTATGACAATACACAAACCAATGACCATTGCGACTTTGCTTGTGCGTCAATGGCATGAGTGGCCATGAAAATGCGAGTCACGTACATTGGGGCCATTAGAAATGTTTTGGTCGCATTCAAACGATGTATGGGAGATAATTCACGATCGGTTTGCGACGAGCCCAGTGTATGAATGGATGTTAGTCTATTCAGTATATCTAGATGCTGAATAGTTTCCCCCCCCCCCCCCCCCCCTCCCCCCCCCCCCCCCCCCCCCCCGGGCCCCCCCCCCCCCCCCCCCCCCCCCGGGTTAGGGGGCCGGCTCCTTAAAAAAACCAAAAAGGGAAATCCCAAAAAAAAAAAAAAAAAAAAAATTTTTTTGAACCGCCTAATCCCAGGAACTAGAGGGGGAATTCAAACTTGTGTTGGTTAGAGCATCTATCGAAGACGACATTAGGCTATAAAACATAACACTGCGCCCAATAAGCAAAGTAACAGTGAAGAATGTGGATAAATAGGAAATAAATAGAATACAGTTGCGTGCACTGCGAAAACGATTTAGGAAACCAAAAGAATGATTCCCCTATTAATGTTCAAAAAAATGTCCGCCACACTTTCTATGTCTATATTTAAGAATTCGTTGTAAGTTGCAATACAATACAATTACAAATGATAAGATATTTACCGAATCAGCTAGTTATTCATATTGATAGATAAGCATGGGATTTCACTAGATATTAGCTGAAATACTTCAGCCCGTAAAACATCTTACAAGATGCGCCGTCAGCCTATCTGAATTTTGATTGAAACCGAAAAGCAATTGAGGGCTTTTCATCTGCGAATAGATTCGTGACCCGGATAGATAATTCGATATTCGTACCATCAATTTAATATCCAGATGTCTAAACGAAGTCCAACATTTAAATAAAACTCCCCGTGACCACGGCTGCTGCAATGCATCCGAAACGTCGGGCCGCAGTTAAAAATAATTTTCAATCAAGTTTAACTAACGTATATCGCGTTTTAAACCGTTAAAGTGTTTTATTCAAATGTGTACCAGTCCCGTAAACTCAAGAAGTCCAACTATTTCAAAAGAATTATAAATTAAATACTGTCTATAGTTTACGCGAGTAGTACACATTTAAATAAAACACTTTAACGGTTTAAAACGCGATATATTAGTTAAACCTATTCAAGAAAATGATTTTTAACTTCGGCCCGACGTTTCGGATGCTTTGCAGCAGCCGTGGTCACGGGGAGACCCGAAAAGAAAAAATTTTCAAATAAGTTTAACTAATATATCGCGTTTTAAACCGATAAAGTGTTTTATTTAAATGTGTACTACTCGCGTAAACTATAGACAGTATCTTCTGGGTAGTTTTATCGAAATTCCGTCGTTACCAACCACCATCCACAGATGGAAAAGCCGTCAAGTCTAATCGCGATTCGGTTGCAGTCTGTGGATTTCCAAATATCAAAAGCTAAAATAGGTCGATAACCCATCTAGCTTAGATGTTATGTGGCTGGGGTATCACGCACCATCAAGTACCCTATGTTTGTCTGTCCGCCTCTATTATAAAAAAATGTATTTTCCTTATAATACATTTTCATTACATAATGCAAGTGTCAAGTTGCGTCGGCGCATAGTTAAAACACCTTTTATGTCTTACGAAACGAGATTACGTTACAATAATGACACATGACGCACGGCGCACGTATAACAAGTGGGAAACGACAATTGTTTTTCTTTAAAACAATAGAAAAATTTATTTAACGCTTACTATCGATTGATAGCTTACGTCATGGGTAAAATTTAAAGGGCTCGTTGGTCTAACAGTTGCTACGTACGTGGGTTGGATCCCCACCAGGCCGTATTTGTTTAAAAACAATTTATAATTCAAAAGTAATACTAAAGTAAAAGTAAATACTGTCTATAGTTTACGCGAGTAGTACACATTTAAATAAAACACTTTATCGGTTTAAAACGCGATATATTAGTTAAACTTATTTGATTGTTGTGCGTGATACCCCAGCCACATAACATCTAAGCTAGATGGGTTATCGACCTATTTTAGCTTTTGATATTTGGAAATCCACAGACTGCAACCGAATCGCGATTAGACTTGACGGCTTTTCCATCTGTGGATGGTGGTTGGTAACGACGGAATTTCGATAAAACTACCCAGAAGATACTGTCTATAGTTTACGCGAGTAGTACACATTTAAATAAAACACTTTATCGGTTTAAAACGCGATATATTAGTTAAACTTATTTGAAAATTATTTTTCGTTTCGGGTCTCCCCGTGACCACGGCTGCTGCAAAGCATCCGAAACGTCGGGCCGAAGTTAAAAATCACTTTCTTAAATAGGTTTAACTAATATATCGCGTTTTAAACCGATAAAGTGTTTTATTTAAATGTGTACTACTCGCGTAAACTATAGACAGTATCTTCTGGGTAGTTTTATCGAAATTCCGTCGTTACCAACCACCATCCACAGATGGAAAAGCCGTCAAGTCTAATCGCGATTCGGTTGCAGTCTGTGGATTTCCAAATATCAAAAGCTAAAATAGGTCGATAACCCATCTAGCTTAGATGTTATGTGGCTGGGGTATCACGCACAACAATCAAATAAGTTTAACTAATATATCGCGTTTTAAACCGATAAAGTGTTTTATTTAAATGTGTACTACTCGCGTAAACTATAGACAGTATTTACTTTTACTTTAGTATTACTTTTGAATTATAAATTGTTTTTAAACAAATACGGCCTGGTGGGGATCCAACCCACGTACGTAGCAACTGTTAGACCAACGAGCCCTTTAAATTTTACCCATGACGTAAGCTATCAATCGATAGTAAGCGTTAAATAAATTTTTCTATTGTTTTAAAGAAAAACAATTGTCGTTTCCCACTTGTTATACGTGCGCCGTGCGTCATGTGTCATTATTGTAACGTAATCTCGTTTCGTAAGACATAAAAGGTGTTTTAACTATGCGCCGACGCAACTTGACACTTGCATTATGTAATGAAAATGTATTATAAGGAAAATACATTTTTTTATAATAGAGGCGGACAGACAAACATAGGGTACTTGATGGTGCGTGATACCCCAGCCACATAACATCTAAGCTAGATGGGTTATCGACCTATTTTAGCTTTTGATATTTGGAAATCCACAGACTGCAACCGAATCGCGATTAGACTTGACGGCTTTTCCATCTGTGGATGGTGGTTGGTAACGACGGAATTTCGATAAAACTACCCAGAAGATACTGTCAATAGTTTACGCGAGTAGTACACATTTAAATAAAACACTAACGGTTTTTACTTTGACGTCAGAGACATCCTCCATTTTTAACTCCCCGTGACCACGGCTGCTGCAAACGACGGGCGGTAGTAAAAATAAGTTTAACTTATATATTTCTCGTTTCAAACCGTTAGAGTGTTTATTTAAATAAGCGAAGTTTTTAATCTCAATTACAGCATTATTGTGTTATCAGCGAATGCTTATTATGTGTATCCTTGAAAATGTGTACCAAGAACAGTCTATATAGAAACGTATAGTTTGCCCGAGTCGATCATACTTAAATAAAACCCGTTTAACGGTTCAACACGGGGAATATGCAAATTTTATTATTATGAATCACGACCTGACGTTTCGACTGCTCACGTCGGGAACCCACAGGAAATTCCTCGAAGTAAAAAATATTCTTAGTAATATATTTCGCGTTTTAAACCGGTTAAAATATTTGAAAAGAAATAAACAAGCATCCAAGCAAATTTAACAAACAATTTAACAAAAAAAAAACCCGGGGGAAAAAAAAAAAAAGGCCCCCACCCCCCCCAAAAAACCCCCCAAAAACCCCGGCCCCCCGGCGGGGGGCCCCCCCCTTTATGGCCAAACCACGCGCGGTCAACTCAGCTAGTGATATATATATTTTTATAGATTAACAAATTCACATACCAATTTCCTCTCTAGAATATCCATCGTAATCATCTAAAAGTAATTTCTTAACACTGCTCGTTGACGATCTCCGTCTCAAACCACTTTTGTGCACAGATAAATTGTACGCCATTTTGACAGATCTAAAAATTTTAGTTCTAAACGCGATTCCAATAAATTTATATTATCGACACCACAGATAAGGACAAAAGGTGTAAAAACCATTTATATCTATAATCGTGTCTTAGTTTTTATCGCTCAGTCACTTCTTTGAATTTCAAATAATTAAAGAAAAAAATTTCGACACGAGCGGGACACGAACCGGGACCCACAGCGTTCCGCGCCGTGATGCCACAATGGTCTCGCGTCAGCATAAGTGGCACTGTTACACACTGATTTTCAGCACTTTTTCGCAGTCTTTAAATTACCTCACACTGATTACACGTTTATATTCAAATTTATATAATAATAACTCATGTATATTTACTAGAATTAACTGTTTGAAACTCGTACGTTGTTTTTGCAACGGAATCTAACATCGTTTTAAGAGTTAAGTATTTTCGATTACTGTTTAACCTTTTATCTAATGAACCTAAAATACTCGTTACTCCATTTGATTACTGGTAATCATTAATTAATCAGTAAGTACTAATTACCTTTAAGTATTGTCTGTAGTAAAAATTTATTTAAAATACTTTAAACGGATTTAAACGTGAAATATATTAATCAACTTAATTGCAATTTATCTTAATTAGTTCAGAAGCCCTCCCTCCCCTTGTGTGACCATGCTGTTCAAAAGACACACTAGATCCCAACGTGAGTCAATTCTGTTGACCACCAAGTAACCACCAAGTGACCACCAGTTTCTCCAAATACCAACTTTAACGAAACGAATGGCGCTAGCGTAGCAATTTTAACATTGGCATTAGGAACACCCTCCATGCTCAGTCCCTCCGTGACCACGACTGCTGCAAAGTATCCGAAAAGGCAGACAAATTAAATTATAGTTAAAATAATTTACAAATAAGTTTGTTAATATATCGCGTTTTAAACCGTTAAAGTGATTTATTCAAATGTGTACCACTCGCGTAAACAACAGACAGTATTTGACATATGATTATTTAATATATTTCACGTTTTAAACCGTTGAAGTGTTTTATTATGCCATCTATTTTCCATTGAAGCCAAAACATTTCCGCCAATAGGAATTTCCCATTTACCAGGAAGTTATAAACGAAAATATCCTTCGCGCTGTTATAAAAAACAAGACGCGTCTTTCTATATCCGTAAATAAACTGTTATCGCAATAAAACAATTGAAGAATGTTCTATAATATTTTTCCGTCATTCACACTTGACTAGCATTGACCGCGGCTTTGTCTGCAAAAAACAGTATTTTTATAATTATGGAAAAATTACGAGTTTTCTTGCAGACAATAGCTATGATCGATATTATTAATAGATATGATGGACTCAAATATAACTAAGCCTATTTAAATAAACGCTATATAATTTAGTTAAACTTGTTTGAAATTTATTTTTATCTACGGCCCGACGTTTCGGATACTCTGGAGCAGACCCGGAGGAGGTCTGGAGGATCTGGAGGAGTCTCCCCGTGAGTACAGCGAAAAATAATTTTAACCGGAGGGTCTGGAGGATCTGGAGGAGTCTCCCCGTGAGTACAGCGAAAAATAATTTTAACCGTGGTCACGGTGGCACGTAGTTAAAAATAATTTTCAAATAAGTTTAACTAATATATCGCGTTTTAAACCGTTAAAGTGTTTTATTTAAATGTGTACTACTCGCGTAAACTATAGACAGTATTCAACATCTAAAGTATATGTGCTGTCGACTTATTTTTTATACATTTAATATCCAGGTTTTCCAGAAGTTTTATTGTTAACTAGCTGTGACCCCGACTTCGGCGGCGTAGAATAGGTACCCTATACAGAATTTAACCAGTTTTTACCAAATTTCATACTGTCTATAGTTTACGCGAGTAGTGCACATTTAAATAAAACACTTTAACGGTTTAAAACGCGATATATTTTAGTTAAACTTATTTTGAAATCATTTTCAAATAAATTTAACTAATATATCGCGTTTTAAACCGTTAAAGTGTTTTATTTAAAAGCCTAAATCCTTTCTTCATACATGCTCCTACCAACGAAAAAGTAATGTTTCAATTCGATCCAATGGTTCCCGAGATTAGTGCGTTCAAACAAACTCTTTACGTTTTTAATATCGGTATAGATGACGGGAATCAAAGCCACGATCCCTTGCTTAGTTATAAAGATAAAATAGATGTCCATTACCGGTGTTTGAGCACATTCTCCATCGCTTTCCGCGTGTAAGTACGTGTTTATCTCTAAATGCATAATAAGGAAAATTTTATTATTACTTTTGTGTAGCAATCCTATACAAAAACCTTAAATATTTATATTGTAGTTTACCTAACACTGTGTTTTCCTGTTAGATACGTTTTATTCGAATTTTAATGCAAATTGTCTATCTGTTGTTTGGTTGAATTTGTCGTTGTTTTTTTAAACATCTAATTGACCTTTGTAAAAAATATGCAAAATCCAATTTTTTACAATCGAGATTTGTGTGCTAATGCAGAATATCTATTTTAGTGTTTATTTCAATATTATATAAGTTTATTCACAAGTTAGCTTAGTCGGCGAATTCATCCGCCTTTTTCCGAACCTCCCGTTCAACTATAGATTTAAACCGTTACCTACGACGTGGACTTTTTTAGAAAGAGGAGTCATTCTTTCATACATGTTTTTTGGGTATCTTGAACCGTTATCGCAGCGTACGCAGTGGAAACCCACAAGGGTCGGGAAGGGAAGGGAACTTTCCCCGGTGCTTGGACATTTCCCGCTGTATCTTCGCTCCTATTAGTCACAGCGATATGTTTTAGCCTATGACCTTGCACAATAAATCTTCTAACAAACACAAAAAATATTTTTTCACTTCGATCCAGTAGTTCTTGCGATAAGCGCGTCTAACAAACAAACAAACAAACTCTTCAGTTTTATTATTAGTGCAGATCAGCAAAGCACATATAGGTCTATAGGAGGAAAAATATATTATAATCTTCTTGAACTATGTCTTGTATTGTATCTACGTGAACCATGTCTGTCTGTCTCCCTTTATTATTAAAAATATATTTTTGAAATCGAAAAAAAAATATTTAATATTATGTTTTAAAAATCTCGACCGCGTAATTTTTATTAAGCTATAGGCCTTTTAGGCGAAATATATTAGTTGACTTACTTTTAATATATTCCCCACCTCGTTTTGGATCCTTCGCAGTAGCCGTAGTCACAAGGTAATGTTAAAATAAAAGAAATATTGCGCGTTTTAAACCGTTGACAGTGTTGTAAATAGTTACTTATTAGAAATGGAACTTTGTGACGATATTAAAATACGATGAAACCACGTTTCCCCATGTGGGGCGTGGGGCGAACTTATGCGTCCGTTTCACTGTTCGCTTTCACAGGCAATATATGCCTGATAATCATCGGGTCGTTGGTTCAGACCCCCCCGGATCCAACACGTTTCTAATTCAATTTATAATTTTTATAAAACATGCTGGGCTTCCTCTGGTAATCTCTATATTAAATAGTGGTGGGAGTGGCATGAATATCGAAATTTCGCCATCACGAACAACCGAACCACAGATGAAAAGGCCGTGAAGTGTAATCGCGTTTCGTTTGCAGTCTGTGGTTATCCGAATATCTAACGCCAGGGTCGACAGGGCATCTTGCTCAACAATCTTTTGCTTCGCTGGGAGTCGAACCCAGATCGTTTAACCATTTAACTGCAGCCGTCGGTACTCTACCGAGTGAATGCCAATTTCCTGTAAACAGCCCGACGGATGTCTGCCCGATTAATGGAATGACCAATTGAGAAAAACTCAACGTTGCTACGAGGAAAAACAGTTGATCATTTGTTATGGACGAGTTTTTAGTTTTTCCACGGTTTTTCACCTTCAAATGGCTTCCGATGGTTTGTTAGTTATGGTGGTTGTATTTATATTATTAACACTTCGATAAGCTAAACACTTTTAACGGTTTAAAACGCGTAATGTATTCGTTAACTTGTTTGTACTTTAACTACATCACCTCTTCGAAAATAAGTCAAATTTAAATACTGTCTATAGTTTACGCGAGTAGTACACATTTAAATAAAACACTAACGGTTTAAAACGCGATATATTACTTAAATTATTTGAAAATGATTTTTAATTTGTATATCGCTTTTTAAACCGTTAAAGTGTTTTATTTAAATAAGTCAAATTTAGTTAGCTTATATATTTCGCGTTTTAAACCGTTCAAAGTGATTTATTTAAATGTGTGTCAAAAACTAACTACATCAACTTTTAACGGTTGATGTTTTATAGCCTTCCTCGATAAATGCTCTAACCAACACGAAAATAATTTTTCAATTCCCACCAGTAATTCCTGAGATAAGCGCGTTCAAACAAACAAACTCTTCAGCTTTATGCATTAGCATAGATTAATAAAACAACGGCAAACAACGGTAATGATATTTCGGAACAGCCTTGAAGTGGACGCTGCGCTGCATGTCTAATGATGTTGATTTGAAGAAAGGCCGCTAGGAAGTTAATCGTATCCGCTTATAAAAACTGGCGATAATCATTCTGTTATCGATACGAGATTGCAACACTACGGACAATAGTGATGGGAAATTAACAGCCATAGTCCAGCATATCAATGTTTACGGGCCGTTCTCATCTCATCTTCTCAAATGTGATAGGTCTTCGAGCAACCGACGAGCTAACATCTCCCGATGATGCCGTCCGCTAGTGATGGCGAAACGTCGAGAACCTCTTCCTCATCGTGTCGTCCGAACAGCCCGAAAAACAATTTTTAAATTTTTGTCTACCGGCACCACGGCTGCTGCAATACATCCGGAACGTCGGGCCGTGGTTAAAAATAATTTTCAAACAAGTTTAACTAAACTACATAGCGTTTTAAACCGTTAAAGTGTTTTATTTCAATTTTGAATCTACAACCGTTTTAACATCCAGATTTCACAGATGTCCAAAATGTCCAAAATAAAAAAAAGTTTCAGATGCTTTCCATCTATCACGGGGAATCCCAAA